AGTCCTCAGCTGTGTTACATTTGTCTCTAAGCTTAACTGTAATTTGATCTGTATTAATTCTGTTTAAGAAGGGATATATCAAGAAGAAAGCTTTCATAATCGTAGCTGCATAAACAAAGGAGGGGCACTTTGAGTCCTTTTAAGCACAGCTCCAGAGGTTGGGAGCTTCTGCCATTTCTCTCACCCAGAGAAAAATGAAGTATGTCTTGTGTATGTGGGGCCCATTGCTGCGTTAGAGCAGTAGAGCAGTGGCTCCACCCCAGATCTGCTTCAACTTCAAAGCCAGGGTCCCTTCTTCCATCAGAAACACTGCTGTTATCTTGGAGTCATCATGCATCACTGAGCAAATATTTTATAGAACCACAGAGCTAAATATTTCCAGCGCTAAATAAATCAACCTGCTGACTTATTCATTCTTAGACCTGAAACAGAATGATAGCCAAGAAATTAGTTGAGTGAGCCTCAAATGAGCTAAGCTTCCTAGTTTGGGGCCCATGTACAGTTCTAGCCTTGTCTCATCTCTCTTGACTTGAAAAATGTCTTTGTTCATGCACACCATACAAATAAGATGACTGGGCTCAGTCATTTTAACCATCTAACTGAAGTGTTTGAAGTGGAGAGTGGTCCTGGTGTTTCATTACCAGCCTCAGGACACCATCACAGCAGCAGCCCTCAGCGTTTCTAGGCTGTGCACGCCTTTCCTCGTGCGTCAGTATGTTGAGTGGAAACTGAGACTCACTGTGTCTCTATAGCCATACTAACTTTGGAAGTCCCTCTTTACTGTTTATTTGTTTAACATTTATTGTGTATGTCTGGCACAGTTCTGATTGATACAACTCTGAATTGTGTATTCTCTACAGAAAAAATCCAGATGAATCTTCTGAATTAATTTAAATTACTAATTTAAATTACTCATCTCTATAATTTGAGAATATGTATTATTATGACACAAATTAAAGTTATATAGTTTTTTTCAGCCAGGAGAAAAATTCTCAAGACAGTAAAGTGTTATTCCTAGAAAAATGAAATGTTCTAGGAAAGAGCCAAGAGTTGATAGTGTATCTACCTCTTTGACTCATATATTAGATGCTTTTTTTTGTTACTATTGTTTCAATATTTTAAACACATTCCAAAAGGTCCAATTTTTTTAGTCTTATAAATTCTTCAGAATAATGAAAGAGTGGCATAATATCAGTTCTTTATTTTGATAAAATCCTGAGCATGCCAAGGTAAAGTGGAATACAAATTTAAATGAGAAAATCTTTCAAGGGAGGAGGGCTGTATTAAATTGATTCCATCACTCCAACACTTGTAACTTAAACTTTTCTTTTAAAACAAAACAAAAGATAATGTCTGGTTGCAACAGAGAAAGGTTCTAAATGGGACACGCAAATGGGAGAGTCAGAGAGATATCTTGGAGGATCTTTATATTTTGCTTTAATAAGGCAGTCTTTTGTTCCATGGCAAGTGTGACTTTTAGTTAAAGAAAATAAATGGGAATGTTCATTTTACTGACTTTCACAAGGTCACATAGCAGCTATGTAGAGCAATTGATGATGGTGGTTAAAAGAGTACATTCTTATGAATCTATAATCTTACATAATATAAACCTGTTGCATATTGTTGGGGTTATACCTGAAAATGACATATGTAAATATATCTATCAATAATGTATTTTAGGGCCTCCTCAGTGGCGCAGCGGTTGAGCGCTGGGTTGCGAAGCTGCCCGCAGCCTCTGCGGCGCCGGTTCCATCCCCTGCTGCTCCCCGGCCACCGGAGGAGGGTCCCACATGGCTCGCAGACCTCTCCTGCCGCCCTCAGCAGTGTACTTCGGTCCTTCTGCCTGCTCTGCTCCCCGCTCTGGCTCTGGTGAATTTTCTCACCCTCCCATGCTTCTGACTGTACCCAGTGCTTGTATAAATAATAAATAAATAAATAAATAAATAAATAAATAAATCTTTAAAAAATGTATTTTACCACTAATTTATCATGAAATATTAGTAGCCAACACATATTTTCTACTTGTGACACTATGTGCTTTTACGTACACAGATCCACAGTTCCAAAATTTAAAAAAAAAAATCTGAAATCCAAAAGCATTTTTCGTAAATTTGCCTCAACTCATTTGGTGCCTAAAACAAGATCTGGATTTGGTGAAGACTATGTATAGCCTCTTTTTAACCTATTTATTTAATCTGCATGAGTAAATTCTGTTTATCCTATTAAATCAGTAATTTTCTGCAGAAATATTAATGTGATTGAATGTGGAATGTTGTCCCAGATCCTGCCGGTTGGGCTTATTTATTGGCTTCAGTGTGTACCAAAAATTCCACATTTTAAAATAGGTTTGGCCAGAAAATAGTCAGATAAGGGATTTTGGACCTGTGTTTATGCTTTACTTCTCACAACAGTGCTATAAAAAAGGTACTGTTCTTTACCCTGTTTTGTAGGTGAGGAAATTGAGGAAAAAGAAATTACCTGGACAAAGGTCATCCATCTGTAGGGATGGAACTAGGATGCCAGTCCAGGCAGTGCCAGTAATGCCAGTCCATTACCTAACTCTTGAGTTTGTTCTCTGAACCATCATGCCTCCTCCTACTTTGTATAAAGTGATGTGTTTGACATGTTGATGGAAGCTAGGGATTTAATTCTGGTTTAATGAGCTGTACTCTTTTTTTAAGATTTATTTATTTATGCATACAAGAGCTGGGGTACAGGCCAGAGGTGTGGGGGGTGAGAGGATTCACCAGAGACAGAGCAGGAGACAGAACAGGCAGATTGACCAAAGTACACTGCTGAGGGGAGCAGCAGGCGAGCCAGGAGAGGTCTGCTGTGCCATGTGGGTTGCTCCCTGGCTGGCCGGGAATTGAACTCATGCTGCAGTGGCTGCTGATGGCTTCATAGGTTGAGTCTTCACCCTTGAGCCACTAGGGAGGCAGGCCCTGAGCTGTACTCTTGTTCTTGGTTTCCTAAATCATTAACTTCTAGACTTTTTAATTGCAGGAAATACAAATGTACTTGCCTTTTTTAATACATTACCTCTAATACACACCTGGTTAGTGTGTCTTAATACACACCTGGTTAGTGCGTCTTACCTAACCAGGTAATCTGTTGTTAAAGAATAAAACTCATCTGAGTAAATGTGATGATCTAATGACATTATTGAATGATTATGAATTGGGCAGCATCCCAGCTAGCAAATAGAAAGGAACTTCAAAGAGCTGTTCGAAATGAAATGCCTTTTGGGCCTCTCTGGTGGCACAAGGGGTTAAGATGCAACCTATGAAGCTATCCATGGCCTCTGCAGCACGAGTTAGATTCCTGGCCGACCAGGGAGCTACCCACATGGCACAGCAGACCTCTCTTTACTTGCCTGCTGCTCCCCTCAGCAGTGTTCTTCAGTCAATCTGCCTGTTCTGTTCCCCACTCTGTCTCTGGTGAATCTTCTTACCCCCGCACACATACACCTCTGGCCTGTACCCCAGTTCTTGTATACATAAATAAATTTCTTTTAAAAATTAAAAAAAAATTAAAAAAATGAAATATCTTTACAAGCAGTGTGTGAGATTTTAAAAAAAAGGGGGGGGAATTGTTTAAAGTCATCTCCCTATGAGAGGTGTAAGGGTCTGTCAAGCAGATCGCCTTGTTACTGCTAACCAGACAATTCCAGATTGCACGGTCAAAGATTACATTTCAGGTAGAGGCTTAAACTGTGTTTAGGTTTGGTCTGAAGTTTTGTTTTGCCTTACGTAGTTTTCTTTTTCAAAAAAATTCCACTTTATTCAAATGACACATTACAAGATTCCCATCACTTCTATGTTTCCTTAACTTTGAATTTTAACTTCTAATATATTTACATCTTATTGTGTATCTTTGTAGGACAGTTGACCATATATTCAACACTAGACTGTGTCTTTACAGTCTACTTGAAAATCACTGTACCATGGCAACTGAAAATTAAGCAAATAATTACAGTGATAATTTAATAAAGTGGTGACAGAGTTCAGTAAAAGACAAAATCTTATCCTAGATGATGATTCTGTTACCTGACTAAATTTTTTAAGAAGAAAGTACAAGAATTACAGAAAAAGTATTTGCCCATTTTCTCTTGTTGTTTCATCTTCTCAGAACTTTCCTTTATTTGCCCTGTATTTTCACATGAATTCACATGATTTTGTGTGTTTATGTATGAATATTACCGTTGTCTCTATTTTAGCCTCAGAGTAACTGAAGGGTAATCCATTTAATTAAAAATGCTTATAGATTCCCAAAACATTTCAGAGTAGTGTTCTCACTGCTATTGTTATCTGTTAATATCTACCACATCTGTAATCTAATTCTTACCTGCTTCTTACCAAACATGGAATATTCTGTGTACAAGAACATTGAACTCATTAAGAGGAGAGAATACTGTACTTTTAACTGAATAAACATGTCTGTTGATTATAAATTATTTATTTTGTCTTATCCTTAAAGCAGCATCCTTCCCTTTAGTTTGGGGCACCGGAGGGATTTGGAAAAGGTGTTTAGATTTCTCTTTGGTTGTTTTTGAAAGTCACTAGATTGCATCATGATATTTTTCCTTAGTCTAAGAAATATTACATGTTTTTCAGCTTTACTGAAGTGATCAAAATAAATGTTGAATGCAGTCAATGTTGTACATATTTAGAATACAAGGAACTTAATTTTTATTTTCAATGGGGAAAAAAATCTGTTACTTTTTTATGGGATGTGCATCTTTGTTTCCTTTTATTAGAAACTTTGAAATAAATAATCTTAGCTTTGAAACACTTAATAACCATGGTTGATACCTTTGCAGAATCCTGTCTCTCTTGGTTGTATTCCCAGCCCTTGGTACTGTTAATCTTTGGGTTAAGCAGAAAGAGTTCTAAAAACCTCCCTTTCACTTACCCTTTTGAAATCTTGTTTTTAATAGCACTTTTCTTTCTTGGCCTGCATGACATTTTCTTTCTTTTCCTTTCTTTTTGCCGTTTGCAAAGACTCTTGGGAGGATTTGACAGATTTGGTGGAGCAAATGCGCGATGATACAGAAGGTGCGTGCCACACCAACATCTTTCAGCTTTCTTTTCTTTCCTTTTTTTTCTGTTTTGTTTTGTTTTAAAATTTTCTAACCACCTTTGATTGTTTTCTATAAGAGGAAGTGTCAGCTTTAGGTTTTATTTTTCCATGGCAGTAACAGGAGCAGTAACACATTTGCCAGATTTTCCTTGCCGGTCCTTCATACAGGATTAGGGCTTTCAGTCTTGCATTTACATCTTTATCCTTGTGGTTCCAAATAATGTGGCATTAATGTATGTTTATGTGCTTCCTTTATAATATTTGTTAAGTAATGTGTGCAAAAGGCACATTCCAAATTATATTGAGTTCTTTTATGGCTGTTTTTTCCATTTATTTGTTGAGAAGATGTGCATTTTTTTTAATCACTTATGAAAATGTGTATATATTTCTGTGAATTCTACAAAAGTGAAAAACAGATCCCAAGAATCTAAGGTATTTGCTCTGGAATGTTGCTCTGATTTGTAGATTTCCATAACAGTAAGCACTTTCCACTTGGTCAAGTAGTAAGATTCCTTTCTGGGGCAGTTATTTTGAAAAGTAGTTCATATGTTCTAATCAGTTCCCCAGACCAACCATTGTTTTTCTGTAACTGGTACCTAACTTTAGGGACCTCGTGGTGATTTACACATTTTATAATAAAATGGAAAAATTGAAGTTTGTTTGCACTTTATTGTTTTACACTCTCCCATTTTGACAGGCAGGTAGTAGTCTCTGACTTTAGCACACACTTCTAGCGTATATATGTCCACCCCTCTTTGCCCAGACTGGCCTATTCACCAACTCTACTGCCCAAGTTGCCCTAAGTCTCTTCTCCTGCCTCGTTCCTGTATGGCATTCCACCCAGACCTTCCTCCCAGCCCCCTTTAGTCTAGATGGGAACAAGAGTCCACAAATTGCTGCTGACAGACTTGACCCGCATTCATCGCTCCACTCACTCAAGTCCTGCAGAATTTGCAACTTAAGGCTTTTACTTGTTTTCTAATTCTTATGTGTTGATCATCCCAGTTAAAGGACACTTAAGAGCAGAGATTGTCTTAAACTTCTTGGTCTCTGTATCAGACCTGGGAGAGAACAGTCCTCAGTAGATGTGGTCACACCAGAAAAAACTAAGGCAGGTTTCTTTCTGTAGCAGTAACCCACAGTATCTTCTGTACTTTCCTTGAAAGGAGTAAATTATGATGATCTCATTTCTTATAACTAAACTCTTTGTATTCCATCTTTGATTCTGCTTTCAAAATAACTAGTTACACATAAATTAATAAAAAAAATCAGTATTAAGTGAGAAAAAAAGAGGAGGGTTCTGTTGATTTATTCAGTGAGTTGTTATTATTATCATTATTTTTTACCAGGCACCATAAATGTTTATGGTTTTGAGTCCTTCATAGACCAACTCTTAAAGAAAAATGATACATAAAGACAACAAATCTATGCCCTTCTTAAATACTTCTTACTCAACCTGGGCAAAATTCCATTTCTTTAATACAAACACTAATGCAAGAATCAAGCCTACTCTTAAGTCAACCTCCTCTTTTTCATTTTGTTTGCTGAACTTTAGTGTATGATTGTCATAGGTGAATTCAAAAAGAGAAATAAGATGAACTGTAAGCACATAAAAACCCAGAAGATGTAAACTATATCAATACTTGGATGATCTTATTAAATTACAAGTTAAGTATATATGATAATGTTGGCCAAGAACCTAATTTACAGAAAGATCCTTCTGTAAGGTCATTAAAAAATATACCAGAATGGGGGGAGAGAAATGACTTACCACTTTTTTTAGTTACTCCATTCTTTTTGTATCATTTTGTACTTGTCTCATTTCTGTTATGTGAAATGCTAAAATTTTACTGTATTACCTAATCTTTGCAAATGAGTACTTGTAACATGACTAAATATGAGTTGTGGCTATTACCCATACACAGCAGCACAGGGTCTGAGGAAGATCCCAACTTCCTACTTTGAGAAAACTAATGATGTACATATACATATTCTTAGATCTCTGCAGGACACTTTCACTGCTCAGCTGTTTTATTTCTGTCTCTTTATCTGTTGTTATGGATGTGTCATAACTTTTGACCTTTTAACAGGTGAAGTATTAACATTGGCTTCTAGCTACCTGAAAAATGGCTATAAACTCTAGGAGGTTGTGGAGTTGAACTGTTAACTTCTTTGGTGTTTCATCTTTAATGTTGGCAAGATTGAAGATTTTTCTGGTGAAGTGATTTCCTACAGTGATGACTGGTTGTATATGCAATGTGTCTGTAAATCATGTCTATTAGATTATGAAGTGGACATGTGTTAGGTTGAAATTGTATCATACTTCTAATATCAGTTATCTGACATCACACTTCATTATTTGCTATTTGTGTCTAAGTTTTCAAACTCACTAGAAAATTATTATAAAGATTGAATGAAATAATAAAAAGCACATAGTTTACTATCTTTGAATTCCTTTTATACTCATTACAAACTTTTTATAAAAATTCTATGAATTTTCAGTTACCCAGGTCACTACCCATCTCTGAGAGTTGAAATAGTCAAGATTTTATTTGAATTAGTTTAATAACACATCTGTGTGAAATGTTACCTGTTAAATTGCTTACCTGTTTCCTTGTCATACTTTCTTTTGAGTAAAGACTTGATATCCACAATCTTGAAAAATGGAAGGAACATATCTTAGAGATTGACTTAGCACCTAGCATTGTGCCACATAATTGTTCAATAAAGATTCATTTTAAATTAAATTGTTAAATAATATAATTGTGGCAGACCGTAAGTTTCATAGTTAACAGTGGTTTTTATTCTTAGTATATCCCAAGCATTTCTAAATAATAAATACGAACTTGTTTAACCTTCAAAACCCTATCATTTTATAGATAAGGAAAATGAAACCTGTCTAAGGTAAAGTAACTCCCCCAGTAGAATACTGCACAGCAGTAAAATGAATAAGCTGTTGATGCACAACAGCCTGGGTGATCTGTAGAGTATTATGTTCAGTGAAAGAAGCCAATTTAAAAGGTTTCAAAGTGTAATGGTTCCACTTGCACAACATTCTGGAAATGACAAAACTATAGAAATGAAGAGCAGATGAGTGGTTGTCCTGGATTAAGAAGGGCTAGGGGAATGATTGGAGGTGGGTATTACTATAAAGGGGCAATGCAGGGAATCCCTGATGTGATGGAAACATTCTGGGTTTTGAGTAATTTGATGTCAGTGTCCTAGTTGGAATATGTACTTTAGTTTTGCAAGTTGTTACTTTTGGGGGAACTTAGTTAAAAGCACATGATATCTCTATATTATTCTCTCTTACAATAGTGCTTGTGTCTGCAATTATCTCAAAAATAAATCAAAAAAATTTTTCCCTGGGTAACACAGTTCAGGAAGAGTTCTATTAGAGTTCACACTCTCGCAGGCTAGCTCTAGGGCTTGTGCCCTTAACCACAGCTCCACAGTTCTTCAAACTTACTTGATTCAAGACCCACTGTGAAAATATACTTCTGGGCCTCCCCTGGTGGCGCAGTGGTTGAGCGCTGGGCTGCAAGGCTGCCCGCAGCCTCTGTAGCGCCGGTTCGTTCCCCAGCTGCCGGCGAGGGTCCCGCAAAAAAAAAAAAAAAAAAGAAAATATACTTCAGAGAACTCAGTACACACATTGCTTATTTATGTGTATTGTAGGGAAGGAAGAGGCTTCCTCTGTCCTCCACAAATCTTACACCTCAGATTAAAGTGACATAAGGCAGAGTGATAAAAATGCTTACAAATTTTATTGAATTTTCAAATGTATATGTGAGCCTTCACAAGACAATAAAGACCTGAAGAAGTGATCAAAGCTTAGAAGTTCATACTTTTTTTTTTTTTTGAAGATTTATTTATGCATCCAGGAACTGGGGTTCTCGCTAGAGGTGCAGAGGGCGAGGTAAGAGAATTCACCAGAGACAGAGTGGGGAGCAGAACAGGCAGATCTACTGTAAATACACAGCTGAGGGGAGCAGTGGGCGAGACAGGAGAGATCTGCTGCACCATATGGGTCACCTCCCTGACCGGGGATCTAACTTGTGCTATGGTGGGTATCGTAGTGCTGAGACTTAACCCCTTGCACCACCAAGAAGGCCCTTTTGAGACCAAGAAAGAATAAATTTGTGAAGAATTGACAAGACACTTGGACTAAGGGTAGTAAAAAGGTGAAGAAGTGACAAGTTTTTTATAACCTTCTTGGCCTAAGTTCTCTGTCTCTGATGATAAGTTTGTCTCCCTTTCTACAAGGGAAGCTAGCTTTCACATGGGAGGTATTTCTCCTGCCTTCAGGGAAGAAGGAGGAGGGTGGTTCAGAGTGACCTTCCTGCTTCAGCTGTTTTCTTGAACTCCTTCAACTTAAGATATTCCATATGTCAAGGTGCTATATTTGAGGGTAGTGTGCCCTAAATGCCATCAAGATCTAAAAAGTTTCATGAAACAGTGCATCTACTATGTGGGGAGCATGTTAAATTGATCTAATACTCCACTCTAAGGGATTGTGACATTCAGCTTTAAAGACTGCATAATATCATCTGCTGCCTCTCTTGGTGGGGGGAGAGTGTGTGCCTGTGTGTGTGTGTGTGTGTGTGTGTGAATCCATTTCAACACTAGCCACTAAGATATAAGACAAAAAAAATCCTTCCTGAAATGACTGTTCTGAGTTCTGTTCCCATCCTATTATTGTTGGGACCCTTTAAAGTTTGGGCCAGGAACCCTGCATTCTTCTCTTTTTCTTTAAACAATCTCCTCTGGTAAATGCTCCTTTTCTAATAATTGATATGATCATCATCCAACCCCCAAACTTGAATTCCGTATACAACTATGATGAAAATTATGTTAAGAATGCATCGGGCCTCCCCGGTGGCGCAGCAGTTGAGCACTGGGTTGCGAAGCTGCCTGCATCCTCTGCAACGCCGGTTTGATTCCCGGCTGCTCCCAGGCCACGGGAGGAGGGTCCCAC